TTTATTATTTTTGCATATATTTATTTTTAACATGCTCTAAGAAATAGATATAAAATATAATGTTATATATATTATATAATTTTTGCATATATTTATTTTTAACATGCACTAAGGAATATATAGATATTATATATATTTTATTATTTTTGCATATATTTATTTTTAACATGCTCTAAGAAATAGATATAAAATATAATGTTATATATATTATATAATTTTTGCATATATTTATTTTTAACATGCTCTAAGAAATAGATATAAAATATAATGTTATATATATTATATAATTTTTGCATATATTTATTTTTAACATGCTCTAAGAAATAGATATAAAATATAATGTTATATATATTATATAATTTTTGCATATATTTATTTTTAACATGCACTAAGGAATCATTCACAATAAGACCGAATGAGCCTCATGTTGACTCCAGCGCACATGTGTTCCTGCTGTGCGTCTCTCCACCGTCAATCATCAATCCTCTTTACTGCAGGAAATGAAATCACAGCGCTGTCTTCTGCTGATTATCAGGACTCGTTACGCCGAGCATCAGATTAGTTCACTCGCAGATCAGTCTGCTGGATTTGTCTGTATATTTTTCTCTCTGTGTCTGATGAACTGAACTCTGGTTTGAACCCAAGTCACATTTACTTCTGTAGCGCTTTATACAATACAGATCGTTTCAATGCAGCTTTACAGGAAAATAACCGTGTCAGTGTTGTCAAATTCAGCAGTTATGACACAAATTCAGTTTCAGCTGTACAGGAGAAATGAAATAGTTCGCCCAAAATGAAAATCTGCTGAAAATATCCTCATCTTCAGGACATCCAAGATGTATTTGATTTAGTTTCTTCATCAGATTTGGAGAAATGTAGCATTGCATCAGTGTCTCACCGATGGATGTGAATGGGTGCCGTCAGAATGAGAGTCCAAACAGCTGATAAAAACATCACAATAATCCACAGCACTCCAGTCCATCAGTTAACATCTGGAGAAGACCAAAGCTGAAACTAATCCAGCATTAAGGCGCTTTTAATTCAAATACATTGAGTCCATAATCCATAATAACGCTTCCTCCAGTGAAAAAGTGTTCTGGTGTGAATCAGGAGAGAATGCTGGATTAATTTCAGCTTCTGTCTTCTCCAGATGTTAACTGATGGACTGGAGTGCTGTGGATTATTGTGATGTTTTTATCAGCTGTTTGGACTCTCATTCTGACGGCACCCATTCACATCCATTGCTGAGCAATTAATGGAATAATGGAACTCAATATGTTATTATTGCATATTGTTTTATAATGTACTACAATACTGAGGTGCAGATTGCCAATAGTTGCGATAAGTGGTATAAATAGCCGAAAATCCTGCTATTTTAACATAGTTTAAATAGAATTCATTGCTATTTGCACTTAGTGTAAATAGCAACTAATTGCGATTTTAATTCAAATACATTGAGTCCATAATCCATAATAACGCTTCCTCCGGTGAGTCAGTGTTCTGGTGTGAATCAGGAGAGAATGCTGGATTAATTTCATCTTTTGTCTTCTCCAGATGTTAACTGATGGACTGGAGTGCTGTGGATTATTGTGATGTTTTTATCAGCTGTTTGGACTCTCATTCTGACGGCACCCATTCACATCCATTGCTGAGCAATTAATGGAATAATGGAACTCAATATGTTATTATTGCATATTGTTTTATAATGTACTACAATACTGAGGTGCAGATTGCCAATAGTTGCGATAAGTGGTATAAATAGCCGAAAATCCTGCTATTTTAACATAGTTTAAATAGAATTCATTGCTATTTGCACTTAGTGTAAATAGCAACTAATTGCGATTTTGTCGCCTTGGAATTATAAGGTTCTATCTGACATTTTTGTGTTGTGTGAATCATTCTTATTGTGTGACAACTTATTTACATTATGCGATGTTTCTTTTGTAAGCTGTGTACATTTTGGGCTTTTTTTTAGAAAACAAAAAGGGTTCTATCTACAGAAGTCTACGGAACACAAAAACTTTGAAGCTCAATTAAAAAACGGTGGCGATTTAGCCTAAATCTTTCTCTCTCTCTCGTTCTCAGTGCTTGTCCAGCTGCCATGGCTGCACTGAGGAAAGAATTCCTAGGAATGCTGTGGAATGTTGGGAATGTCGGAGAAGGGGCCTCCACCCTGTAGTGTGCGCTGCTGTAGGGTGGAACCGCAGCACTCTTCCTGCTCTAGTAGTGCAGAACTAGAGCCCTTCTCATGAACATATCAGACGTTTACTGCGACTGTTTCTCTCTTATCTTCATGTGAGCTGTTTGAAGCAGTCACTCTTACTCCTGCAGGTCCTGCATGCTGAGATGCCCTGAGACAGAGAGTGACGCCCATCAGAGCTGCATGATGGTCTAGCTCCGCCCACTCTGTCAGGATGCTGGCCTCTGTGGTCTCTGGAAATAACGGAGGGCGAGCGCTGACCCTGAAGGGCGTCGACCCAGAAACATGTATGATCGTCTT